TAAATTGTCATGTTTGTGTACGATAGCGCAATAAATAAATATTGTATTATACCACATACATGACAGTACTTTTATACTGATAATTAAAGCAATTCGTGCAAAATTATTCTCTACACATTCAAAATTATCAAAAATGCACAACGTTAATATTGAAGTTTTCCTTCTGCCGGCACTCCCGGAGTGCAACCTGTCGTTTTTTTTTCCTAATACATAGACAAATAGCAAAATTATTTAGATTTATCTGGCATACTGTTCTTGATACACCTACCCTCATGCTACCGTTAATGTTCGAATGTTCTTTACCTAAATACTGAGTTATTACTCAACAACTACTGCTACAGGAATTAACTCATTATTCGGAAGGTGATTTTTTTCTTACTAGCCACGAAGAAATTCGTGTCAGCACAGCAGCGCCACGACTTTCAGTCGTGAAACCGTTTGTGAATCAAGGTAAAATCATACTTGTACCGTGGGAGGCTTAGAAATTGGTGTCGATTTTAGCATGATTCTCTAAACCTAAACTTAAATTTAAATGTCACCATTGGCATTTATTTGTTTGGCACCATTGGCACCATTATGTTAGTAAATTGGTATGGTGAAATAAGTTTACAGAACGATTTAGGCTCAGTTGCTTTTTTAAACCAGTAAAAAGTCGATGCTAACTAAATAACACAAAAATATTGGAATTGCTATTTTGTGATACAGAATACTGAGATGGCACGATTGCATCGGATGCGGTTGGCATCTTATTTGGTGGATATTGTGAATGACAGGACATCGGCCAAATTATAATTGGATCAGAGTTGGACATCTAGAATAGGTATATTTATTAATATTGTTAATTATATATAAACAGTTTTTACAAATTGTAATTGACACAAATAAAAGCCGAGTAAAATAAAAAAAAATTTTTTTTTTTTGTTGAAGTTCTCCCGTTTTAGGGAAGGCAAAGGGAACGTTGCCCATACAGCCTGGTCTTTAATAAAATTAATCTTCTTTTTGTTTTTACATTAGAATGTCAGTGTGACGCATTCTAATGTTTCTTGGAGTGTTTGGCACGAAATGTGTCGAGTTGGCTTTTTCGATAAGCTTCTGTGAGGTAGTCAACACTACAATAAAATTCTCACGTCCACTTGACCGGAATAGCGTATATTTTAACGATTCCACTAATTCTTCAGTTACGCAGACGGTTGTTACACAAAACCACACCAATTTTATTTCACAATATACACTATGAACGAATTTAAGAATAATTAAAATAAGACGCCAAGCGCACTCGATGAAATCCCGCCAAAAACTCCTAAAAAAAAATATAAAACACTGCATTGACATTCATCCTAACTTGTCCTTTTTGGTAAACAATCTTGGCACTTCTTTTTATTGAAAATACAGCACTAAAAATCAACTGAAAACTAGATTTAATAGGTTTCAGTCTATAATAACAATTTATTGTAATAGCTTTGACTTTGTTATTATTTTATTTTTAAATTGGTGATTTGTTTAAAAAGTTGTGCCAAGATTGTTTACCAAATTGACCCAATAGGACAAGTTAGAATGTTTTTTTAAGATACTCCCTTTTCGGGGAAGGCAAAGGGAACAATGCCCATAAAACCAAGACTTTAGTTTTATTAATCTTCGTTTTTCTACAATATAATATCGGTGTGGCTCATTGTAATGTTTCTTGGAGTGTTTGACACGAAATGTATCGAGTTGACTTTTCAGGTAAGCTTCTGTGAGGTAGTCAACACTACAACAAAATTCTCACGTCCACTTGACCGGAATAGCGTATATTTTAAAGATTCCACTAATTCTTCAGTTGCATTACAACCGTCTGGTTGTAACATCACACCAATTTTATTTCACAATATCCACTGTAAACGAATTTAAGAATAATTAAAATAAGACGCCAACCGCACTCGATGAAATCAAATGGCTTCGCTTCTACTAAATTTTGAATTGTGTGATATGGTATGGTATACTTGTTATGATTTCTGTGCAAAAAAACAATTTCTGTAATGAAAAAATGTAATACAGATAGGTAATAAAAATGTCAAAATAACATAACCAATAAATGTTCAGAGTAAAATATTTTTTTCCCCGGCTTTCTTTCGTCGTAATTCTTATATATATATAAGCTCAATAAATTCCGCAGAATCTAATGATATATCATTTGTTGAAAGACGCAACAATTTAATTTGAGAGTTGACCGATGTCCTTTGTGTTCTTTTGTGTTACAACCGTCGCCGTCGGCGCAACTGAAGAATTAGTGGAATCTTAAAAATAGACGTAAGTACTTTATTATGGTGTTGACTACCTTATCAGAAGAAGCAGAAGCTTATCGAGAAAGCTGCGAATTAGAATGTGTCACACCCACATTGAAATGTAAAAAAACCTGCCAAGTGCGAGTCAGACTCGCTCACCGATGGTTCCGTACAAACTCAATTTAATACCTCTACGCGTTCATGAGAAAAGAGGTAGGAACTTTATAATTTTCAAAAATATATTTTATCATGTGACTAAAAATTTACGGTTTCCGCAATTTTTCCTTTATTTGTACTATAATTACCAAATTTCAAGAATCTAAGTTCATGGGAAGTACACTGTAGGTTTTGCGGAAATTTGCGGCATAAACGGCTGTATATGAATTTCAGTTTGATACCTCCACGCGTTCCTGAGAAAAACGGTCTTGACAGACGGACGGACGGACGCACGGACAACAAAGTGATCCTATAAGGGTTCCAATAAGGGTATACGGAACCCTAAAAATAGAATATTAATAAAACAGAAGATTAGGCTGAATGGACATGGTTCCCTTTGCCTTCCCTGAAAAAGGAGAACATAAAAAATACTGCAACAGTGATGCTAGTGCTAGCCATAAATACGCCAATTTGGCGAAAAGCTTTTGGACTTAGCGAGATCTTGGTTGGAACGGGGGTGTAAGGGGTTCTAAATACACCTGCAAGAACCCAAGCCAACCTCACCTTCACGTGGTTCACCCTGTTGACCAACAGACGAGGCTCTGGCAAACCGACCGATGGCGGTATAACCATCCAATGACGTAGGGGAGGGAAATCTCGAAAATGTGGTTCGGATCCTCAGGGAAGAGGGTACGAGATTATGTGCAACTCAGCGTAAGGGCAGGAAGTCAAAGCTTTCGGAAGATACTTTAGGGCTAATGAAGGAACGACGTGAAAATCCACCGCGGAGCAAAGCGGACTCTAAACCAAGAGATCAGTAAGCACGTACGACACGACCTCCGTTACTCCAATACTCTTTCGATCGAGAGAGCGATCAAGCAGAATCGAGGGTCCAAAGTGTTAGTACAATCTCTTGGAAGAAGCCATCTGACGACGTTGACCACAGCAAGTGGAGAAGTGGTTGCTCCAAAGCCGGCAGTCCTTTCCAAAGTGGAAGACTTCTACGGCCAGTTGTACGCATGACATGCATCTCGACCCGATCCCGAGAAATCGATATTGCTCTTGGACAGCTTAAAAATGGAAAAGCCCCTGGAGAGGATGGTGTTACAACAGGGAGCTCCAAAAGCTTTTTAACACTGTCCTGTTCGAAGGGAGAACTCCGAAAGCGTGGAGTAGGAGTGTGGTCGTCTTGTGTTTTAATAAGGGGGGCAAGACCCTATTTAAGAACTATCGACCCATATCCCTTCTGAGCCACGTCTATAGGCTGTTCTCAAGAGTGATCGCGAACCGTCTTGCGCGTAAACTTGATGACTTCCAACCACCGGAGCAGGCTGGGTTTCGGAGCGGATACGGCACCATAGACCACATCCACACAGTACGGCAGATTATACAGAAGACTAAAGAGTACAATCAGCCCCTGTGCCTAGCATTTGTGGACTACAAGAAGGCCTTTGACTCGATTGAAATCTGATCTATCTTGAAGTCCCTGCAGCGTTGCCAAGTCGACTAGCGATACATCCAAGTGATTAGTCTTTACGAAGCCGCTATCATGTCGGTCCAAGTACAGAATCAACCAACAGGTCTCATACCGTTGTATCGTGGAGTGAGACAAGGGGACGTTATTTCCTCGAAATATGTTCACTAATGCAATGGAGGATAATTATGTTCAAGACGCTGAACTGAAAAGGACGTGGCATCAACATAAATGGCGAACGCATCTCTCACTTGCGATTTACAGACGACATCGTCATCATAGTAGAAACCCTGCAGGGCCTTCAAAAAATGCTGAATGACCTGGTTGACTCTTCTATACGCATCAGCCTACGGATGAACTTGGATAAAACCAAGGTCATGTTCAATGAACAGGTTCTACCAGAAGCTATAATCTTCTTCTTTCTTTTTTTAATGGCTCAACGGGGATATACCCACAATTCTGCCAATTTCACGTAGATAGCCACTACACGACAAGGGATTCTTAATAAAATTAATTTTAAATTAGAGAAGTTGAAAATACTATTTTAAAATTCTGTCACTTCCTATGTTGATTTAACGACCCTGTAACAAAACACAACACATTTCATGGCATGCACAACAAAACACAAAACATCACAATACACAGAATTAACATTTTAGTGGAGGTTGAAAGCGTGTCTAATTATAGTTTTAATTTGTTACATTGTATAAATTTAATAATTATTTTTAGTAAGGGTGAGTTAACCAATTTTAGGACGTTTTTAACATTTAAAGGTCGGGGTACATCATGTGGAAGGACATCATATAAGGAATATCGAAGTTTGGGACAGTCAAATAACAAGTGTTCCGCTGTTCATGAATGTGAATGAATGAAATGTGTGTGAATGAATGAATCAAGAACATGAATTACGAGACGTCATCGGATAATTTACCTATACAACATTTTATATTATTAGAATAAAATAATACAATATAGTAAATATTTACCTACCTATTCTTTATTGTATAGGGCCAAACTTCTATTATGAAGTTCATCATTTTGACGAAAGTTATTTTTAATCTAGCGAAAATTAATAAATCACATCTGGCAAGTGGCAACATTAATCTGTCAAGGTGTCAATTTAAAAAAACAGTTACGTACGCGGTTCTTTGTAAAATTGAAATAAAAATTTATAAAATTGGAAAATGGCAGAATTTGCTACTCCTATCAAGAAAAATAAAGGATCTGATACTAATGAAACTATTACAATTCCACCGTCGCCATTCTTACCCCGAATCGGTTATGGTACAGGTATGTATTCATGACTTGCTCAGAGATTGTTAATCTAAGCACCACTCTGATTTTAACTGCTCAGACGTAAAATTTTAAATAAATTTTATAGTTGCTGCATTCATTTTATAGGAGTAAATGTGGTGCAGCTGGTTAGATCACCCCGAGCAGGTCAAATTCGGTCACCATGGGCGTTGAAGATGCTTAACAAGAGAGTGAAGCCATGCAAAGTGTACTCTGAACGAATAAAAGTTGAGGCAGAGCTGCTGCAACGCATGTCACACCCTAATATTGTTGGGTTCAGAGCGTTCAGTAAGACTAAGATTCTATATTTGGGAATGGAAGCATGTGATTTATCGCTTGGAGATATGATAGAAAAGAGGGTTGAAGAAGACGTTGGACCTTTTGTTCAGAAAAAAATATTGAAGGTAAGTAAATAGTTTTATGAAGGTTCTTAACTTACTTAAAATGATATGCAGTACACAGTGTGCACAAAAGTAAGCAAACTTTCAGACAAACAGATGCAGCAGATGACTTTATTTTATATGTTAGTGAATCTAGAAGTTATTTTTTATAGTAATTTGTGTTATTTACTGGAATGCTACCATGTACTTTATTTTTAGTGAGTTTATTAGTATTTTTTTTAACTATTAAGTACAGTGTAAACTCTATATAACGACACTAAAGGGACTGTACATTTTATGGCATTATAGAGAGTTGTTGTTAAATGGAAAGAAGAAAAATCAGAATTATAATAAGAAAAAGTTTATTTCAAGCTAATAGTTAAGTACATAATAAAAGATAGAATTTCTTAGAAAGTTTGGTTTGCATTTTGCCGGCAGTCGAGTTTATTATGGGCTACGTTAATAAAGCGACAAAAAAACATACACAGCTGTGGGATTTTCACTAATTTTGGCAACTTAAAAGTTACTTTTTATTACTTAATTGTTGTTGTTATTGAGAGTAGGCGTAATGCTATATGGAGTGTACCGTTGTATGGAAAACAAACTAAACCAACCAAAGACGAGTGATTTTGACGCTTTAGGGAGTTTGTCATAAAATCGAGTGACGTTACATGGAGTTTACACTGTAATTGCAATTGTCTGCTATTTTCAGGTAGCTGTAGACATTGGAAGTGCACTGGATTACCTGCACACTAAAATGCAAATATTACATGGAGATTTGAAGTCTTACAATGTTCTTGTCAATGGTGATTTTGTTATATGCAAACTGTGCGACTTTGGTGTCACTGTTCCGCTGGACGAGAATGGGGTCTTTGACAAAGAAAAAGCTGGAAAATCTGTTTATTATGGTATTTTAATACTCAAATAATAATTATAGTAGTAAGGAAGGCTGAATATAATGCTGTATAAATGAAGACATACACATTCAACCGCAAATATACTGGGCTGCCTTTTAGTACCATGGAACTCACACTATAAAATATCAAACTTATTTTCCATATAGCTATAACACGGAATGTGAGTTATACTTTTATCAAAAAAATCTTTTTGTAGATAATTAGAACTGCCCTCATATAAGGTTACCTTGGGATAAGAGTTGTCAGTTTTATACTTTTTGAGAAAATCAATTTGGACATCTAAGGTAGCTAGTGGCCCTGTTTATTTGCTGTCCAGTGTAGTTTTATACATGTTGCAGTGAATTGCCTAACCTACCTGGTGATAAGTGTGATTAAAATCCATTTGCACTTTGACTACTGAACAATTTGATACACCAAAGAAAGTTGCATGTCACCTTTCAAACTTTTTCAATCTTAACTTTTGATATTGATTAAATTACATGTGATAAGCATTTGAGGAGCTCGATGGCGCAAGTGGTTAGCGCTTTCGGCTGCGATCGTTGAACTACAGCAACTTTCGCAGTGGTTGGTCATTGGATGGGTGACCAAAAATTACTATCTCGAGCTCCTCCGAGCTTCGGAAGGCACGTTAAGCCGTTGGTCCCGGCTGCATCTGCAGTCGTTAGCACCTTCCAATCCGCACTGGGCCCGTGTGGTGGGTCATGGCCCAATCTCCCTATTCCATCCATAGGGAAGGCCTGTGCCCCAGCAGTGGGGACATTAATAGGCTGATGATGATGATGATAACCATTTTCTTCTAAACACTTTCTGAATATGTTTAATTTACCATTGACCAGGTACAGAAGCTTGGAGTGCTCCAGAAGTAATCCATGGAGGCACCATATCAAACAAGACAGATGTGTGGTCGCTGGGGCTCACTCTGTGGGAGATGATGGCTCTAATGCCACCACACACACAGATCGATGACAGTTTAGACGAGAGCATGGAAATGCTCGATGAGTCCGCTGCTAGTGAGGAAGACTTCTTCTCTGAGAGATATGGTATTATGATCTTTTTAATCTCTTTTCCGTCAAAATATTAACTATTTTAGTACTGTATTCTGATAATGGCATGGCAGCGCCCTTTCTCGAGTAACGCAGATTTCCATCCTTCATGCTTGTAAACTATTAGTGAACAGAATTTTAAATTGGTTTATGAAAACTATTTTAGACTTAATCTGCCTTTACGAAACCTAAACTAAAACTTAGTTTGCTATAAAGAAGACAATGGTGTCGATTCTGACATGATTCTCTTAACTTAAAACTAAATTTAAAATCAGTCTCTCCTTCCCATTCTGTATAGAGAATGACCAGGATGCACTGTTCTGAAATTTAAGTTTAGGTTTAGAGAATCATGCCAGAATTGACACCAGAGACAACATTAGGTTTAAACCAAGACTAACTTAGTCCTTGTTTTGGAATTCAGGTAAAAAAGTATTGTGATAGGAATTTGTGTTGTACAATAAGGGGGCTGATCAAACAAGCAATAATAGTTATAATTTTCTAGTAAAACTTTTCTTTAGATTTAAACATCTTGCAGTTAAATGCTTAAAAAAAATTAAAACATAACTATAATTGCTATTTCTTCTTTCAAATGTTTAATATTTAAAAAAGTATTCATTTGACATTGTGGGTTACCTACAATGCGAAGAGATGGCGCTGCCTTGCAGCTTAAGGCTAGGAAAATTTCGACGCGGCCATCAGGGCTGTGGTAGCATAATTGGTCAGTGCATTCGCCCGGATTGCAAAGGGTGCGGGTTCGAGTGCCGTCCGCTGCCTGGTCCGCGTGGATTTTTTTCTAGTAAAACTTTTCTTTAGATTTAAACATCTAGCAGTTAAATGGTTAAAAAAAATAAAAACAATCTTTTTTATTTTGAATATCTGAACTTTATTTACTGTTTGGTTGCACAGTGTTTTCCGTCCATTAAAATACAAAACACTGCATAACTATTCCATGCTACGTTAACCCTGTAATAACTTTTATAGAAGAAATTGACGACCTTTATGACCGAGTGGTTTGTACGCCAGGTTTCATGGTGTCGCCAACTCGAGAGGTCCCGGGTTCGAATCTCGGTCGGCAGATGTTTGTGTGATGAACACGAGCATTTCATGATTATGAGTCATGGATGTTTAATATGTATTTCTATATAAATACTCGCTGACCCAGCGAACTTCGTACCGCCATAAAAAAATAGGGGTTGGTGGTAGAATGTTGAAAATTTAGGGATGTATGTATTTTTGTATGATGTATCATAAAAAAATTATCTAAAATTTAAAAAAAAAGTTAGGGGTGGATTACCCTTAACATTTAGGGGGATGAAAAATAGATGTTGTCTGATTCTCAGACCTACCCAATATGTACACAACATTTCATGAGAATCGGCAAAGCCGTTTCAGAGGAGTTTAACCACAAACTCTAGAATCAGAATTTTATATATTAGATACGTATATATGTATTCTATCTATTACCCTAGTATCCCATAGCACAAGCCTTACAGTGTTTACTTTGGGGCTAGGCTAATTAGTGTGAGTGTTGGAATTGGTTATGAATTAATAAATTTAAATTTTTAGGCACCCGACCAGCAATACCGGCTAACATATCTACAGAAGAATATGGCGCAGTACTGTCGATATTCTGGTGGTGCTCGCAGGAACAATATCAACAGAGGCCTTCTGCTGCAGAACTGTCTAATGCTGCCTCACAAGCGTTACAACAGTGCCATACAAATAAATAACCTTGCTTGAAGTTGATAATGGTGTCGATTCCGGCATGATTCTCTAAACTTAAAACTAAATTTAAAATCAGTCTCTCCTTTTCATTCCGTATACAGAAAGACAAAGACAGACTGTTGTCAAATCTAAGTTTAGGTTTAAATAATCGTGCCAGAATCGACACCAATGCTATAATAATATGGAATAGTTTACGTACTAAGGCCTAAAGTCCCTGTAGCATATTTGCTAAATCTCAACCTCAAAATCTAGATGTAACCCATGATGTATTTTTTTTAAATCTAGTTTTAACAGATTTGTGTGCACTTTAGGTCGTCCACTTGCAACAAATTGACTTGACGTTTCAACATTTTTGTACGGGTTAAATCTAGAGACAACTAGCGGACCGGCCTTACTAATAGCATAATTATAATAAGAAGAATAATGTCATACCTGACTAGTGCCACCAACTAGTATAATGTGAACCGCTTCAGATGGTTGCATAACTCAAGCGTACACACAATTTTATCATAATCAGTCCAGCCATTCAAGAGATCAGTTATTTGTACACAGAGAAGAAATATATTTAAAAAAAATGGAAATGTATGAATGCTGCTGGTATGTAGAACTTTTATGTAATGTTTATTATATTAGGCATTATTTTGGAATGTTATATGTTAATGTTTCTCTATGACTAGTTATAAGTTAGACTGTTCAATAGACTGAAGTTATCAGCTGCTGCAAATCAGGTCATTCTTACGCATCTAGTATAAAACAGGATGCAGTAATAGATGAATCTTGATTGAGGAGTTTTTTTTTCAACCCATTTGCTTTAAAAATGCATTTACGGGAGGTTGTACACATTATTCGAGACTTAAAATTTACGGGCCATACAACGGAGCGTGCGGTAAAACATTTTACCGCACGCTCCCCATACATGGCGCCGTGCGCCACCTTTACGGTATTTTGTTAAACGTTAAAAGCGCTTTTAATCTATAGCTTAGTCTCACTTTAATACTAAAAAGAAAAAGAGACGGAAGATGTAGTTCTAATTTTCATTCACACGTGGCGCCATTTAGAAATGCCCGCCATTTTCTTTTTGAAAAAAGTTTGCTTCATTACTGTAAATTAGGTAGGCATACTGTACCCTAGCACGAACCATTATCGAATTCGAGTAGTTTGCAAACCGAAATGTCAATGTCAAATTTTGTATCGAAACTTGAACAGCAGCGGCACAAAGTATGTAACGAGAAGTAAAAATCAGTACACATTTGACAATGACATTTCGTACTCGCAAACGAAACGAATTCGATATTGGTTCGTGCTAAGGGTACTGGACTATGGTTATCATTACATTTGTCTACTTGTTTGTAATAATAACCAACTTACCGGACTTATATCATAAATATTTCCATGATTTACATTTTATATGTGTTTTACCTGTAAGTAATGAATGATTGAGAATGATTTGATGATACAAAATCATACCCCTAATGATTTAAACATCAAAATAACAAAATACAAATGAAAATACAATAAATCAGCCCCCCCCCCCTCCTCTCGTTTTGTGGTTAATAGTTTTAAAGCCGTAAGTGATATTATACTTATAAGAATACTATTATATAAAGTTGATGTTTAAGTTTAAAATGTATTTTTTCATCAACGACAGTTTTTGAAACTAATGGAAATTCAGATTGACATTATGAACAGAAATATATATAAAAATGTATGATGTATACTTATTTTAATGTAATTTTAAGGTGTATCCTGTTGGAGAATAACAATAAAAGTTTTATAATTAAAACAACTTTATTTTTGTAACATAAATAAAAACTTAACGAACACACAGATTTTCGTATTATTCCTATACTCTTAGGTTTATAAATAGACAAGTTTCTGGTCAATCTGTGAGAGTAATTAATTAGTAATTTACTTGCGTGAAGTAATATCAATTTTAAATGAGTATGGTTACATACAGTAATAGTGTTTCTAAGCCAGGAACAACCGCGTGAAGTAATATCATTAATGTTTACAGTTCTATCGATTTATATAATTGATACTTGAATTATAAATAAACAAAACAGGTATGTAATAGACACAACTATGATTGCGAGGCTGTTTTAAGTTTATTGCTTAAGTGTGAGTATACATAATTTAATACATATATCAGTATGGTTATATCATCATAATGAGATTACAATTTTCACTTCAAAAATGTTGATAACTCCCATATTTATCATGAACTTTATTTTGAAACGTCACAACTTACAAACAGTTGAGCGCTTATATAAATACTAGCCAGCGAACTTCGTACCGCCATAAAAAAATAGGGGTTGGTGGTAGAAAGTTGAAAATTTAGGGATGTATGTATTTTTTTATGATGTATCATAAAAAAATAAAAAAAAATCTAAAATTGAAAAAAAAATTAGTGGTGGATTACCCTTGACATTTAGGGGGATGAAAAATAGATGTCCGATTCTCCGACCTACCCAATATGCACACAAAATTTCATGAGAATCGGGAAAGCCGTTTAGGAGGAGTTTAACCACAAACACCGCGACACGTTAATTTTATATATTAGAAATACTTAATATGTAACAGATTAACAGTGTTATTAAAAATACCCTTCTAACTTAAAAAAAAAAACAGATTCATTTATGTTTACAGCTAAAAGCTAATATTACAATGTATTACAACAGTTCATGTGGTACCATGTGATAAACCTATCGACTAAAATGAATGGTTTGTTTCAAACACATTTAATAAAAAACAAATAAATCGTCTTAATATTAGTTTAGTCATAATTTTACTAAACCACAATTCGCCAACTTAGAATGAAAGTAAAGTCAAAATTCCCGTAATAACTGACTTAATTGCCCTTAAATAAAACTAGTTTTTACGGGTTAATGTACTAATATTTATTTTTTGACGTTTCGCAGCCTTGCCAGGTCTGCATCGTCAGAATAATTATAAATTATTATCTCTTATCTATTAGACAAGTCCGCCCGTCCGTCCGTTCGTCTGTCTGTGGTGCTATTTCAGCGGCCAAACCGTGAGAGATAGATAAAGAGAATGTTTAAGTTATAAGTTAAGAATAGTCTGATAAGACTACAAACCGGATTTGAGTAACGTAGCACTTCCGGTTTTCGAGAAATCACGTGAGTTCTATTTCAAACGAAACCACACAAAATCTCCGAAGTTCTCAATTAATTAAATACATTTTTTTTTTAATTGGTGAACATTTGGTTTACTGGTTTGCTAGTATTGACTAATTTATATTATGACCGGGAAAGGCTGCGAAACGTCAATAAATAAATAAATTTAGTACATGAACCCGTAAAAAGTAGTTATATTTAATGAGTGATGTGCGTGAAAACCTAAGAAACAAATATATCCTTAATAAAAAACAGACTACAATCCCGTGGAGAAACCAATTTTATCAATTTATAAATTATTCAAATGTTTAACAAATGGTTGAAAGTATTTCTTAAAATTGCAGGATATTGTTTGGTCGTATTACTTAAATTAGCTTGAAACAAATATAGGTAATTAGTGACATATTAACTTTATAAAAATCCAACAACTGTACTAGGTACTGAATTACTATTTTCAAAAACAGGTTTTAAAACTGACATTGAGACAATAGCAAAATATTTAATGACCAATTTTGTAGCTCTATTGATTTATTTACTAATTAAAAAAAAACAAAAAAAAGTAGTTTAAATATTCAGTTGTTTAATACAGTCAAAAAGAGATTCATTAAATGAGAAAAATACCAATTATTTTCAACGCATCATAAATTATTAAAATGTCTTAGTAAAGAGAAAACTTTAAAGTTAGTAAAACGCGTTGCTTACATAACAAATTATACTAGGAGCACCAATTATGTAATTAAAACATTTATTTAAAAAAAAACAAAATATTGTTTTAAACTTTCATGCTAGTTCTTCACTCTCGTCGAAGTTAGGCGAGGCGAGGTTGCGCGAATTTACGCGAGGCGAGTCAACACGAGGTGACACAAGAAAGTATCCATCTTCACTCTCGCCTCTGTTCAATTCTCTCTATGTCGCCAGTATAATGAGCGTGCTCGAAGTGGCAAGTGGGGCAACTTTATGCGTCTTTGCGTATAAAACCAAAAAGCCTTGGCGAAGAAGGCGATTGTGGATAACATCTATATACCGTAACAGAACAAGATATGAGTTACAATTTTATTTTTCTGGTGAAAACACGATTACTTTGCGAGTTTTTTATTCGTTTTTTCTAAAAAAACTGCCAAAGAATGTTACTTAATTTCACTAAAAATTCATACCGATTGAATAAACGCGAGAATGTGGACGCCGCGCCTCGCCTCGTCTCTCTTCGTACCTCGCGCTCAAAAACCGACTACAGTCGGAGCAGTGTTTCCACTTTAAAGATTTCCTTTCCCCATGCCTCAATTCAGATTTCCCCTTCTTAGGACATTTTTCCCCTCAAAAATTATTCTGCTGTAGTTTTTAGATTTGGCACTAGTGTAGTAACTAAAAAAAGGTCTTATACTATCTTATTCTATAACAGATAAATAAAATATATAAAATCTGCACGTGTTGCCACAGTTTCTTTTATACGGCAACACTCTAGTCCACGTTATAGTCCATAAAAAATTTGTTCCGTGCCGCATTATTTTAGGCTATGCTTTACCCATAATTTCCTGCAATTTCTTTTCATGTCTTTCCCCTTTTTCTTCCCCTCTGGACCCTAATTTCCCCTTAAAAGGGGAATTTCCCCTCATTGTGGAAACACTGAGTCGGAGTACAGACGAGACGAGCCGAGGCGATGCGCGGCGATGTGACGCGAGGGCCCCCACTACACTCTGGTGCTCGCGCTCCCTCGTCTAATCTCGGCGAGAGTGAAGTGCTAGCATCATGGTCACTACTAACATTCTAGTAATAAAAGTTATTTACGGGATTGTTGCCATTCATGTACCGTCAGTTACTCCGTGATCATGACGCGTAACAACAGTGCCGAAATATCGAAAACTCGCTTAAAACAATTCCGTAAATAAATTATATTACTAAACTAAAACATGTATAATATACCTACACGTGATCATTAAAATGAAAATATTCGGTGTTTATATCTTTAATTGACGGTAGATACAAAAGCTGCCAGGATATTCAATCAAGCTTTCATTTTACAGGTGGTTTCAAGCTTTAATAAATCGTATTATTTGTGAAAAATAATAAATGGTTCTTTCACTTCATTCCATCTATGTCTACTTCCAGAAGCCCAAGCACAAATTTTGACAGTTCCGTAGTTGTATCACATCGTCAATTTTTTTATGAAAACTATGCAGCGCCCCTATTGGACGTAAGTACAAACTAGCTTTTTCCATACAAAATTTGACGATGACGATACCATTACTGTTTACGCCGATAAATTCCCATATGCATATTGTTACAAATTGAAAGATAAGGTGAAAGTGTTGTTGTCAACTGTCACTAGATGGCGCCATCAGTTTGCTTAGTGTGATGTCTGACTGGCGATGTTGAGATTTATACTTGATTATATAAGCCTTAGAAAATAATTATTTAATTTGAATTTGAACGGTGGTTTATATTTATAATCCTTGAACCTTTTAAAGAATTTTTGGGATTTCTACAATTAGTGAGCTGTCAAAACTAGGCCTTGGATCTCAGTACAGAGCGAAAAAAATCAGTTCCACTTTTTATGTGTAAAATATTACAAATAGTACAACTATATTAAATAGTTTCAATAATACACATAGATATATATATAAATACTACATTCTTACAACGTTATAGGTGAGGTATTTATGCATAAGGCGATCCGGGTAAAGCTGTGTGATATGGCATACATATTATTATGTATGTTACTATATAGGGTAGATATACAAAATAGTATGTTATTGAGCTTATAGATAGATTATGCGTTTAATTATGTGATTGTGTCGCTATGATTGTATATTGTGTCTTAAAAATAACCAATAAATTGACTTTTTTTTTACAATAAAAATAAATAATGCATCATTTCAAGTAACAATGCAATGAGGGCTATCGCGTATGGATCCGCCGCTAGAGGCGTTAGTGTAGCGTGAAGTCTCCGAAATGTCAAATGTTATTGCTTGTGGGTTGACTACGCGGGTTTATTTCTAATTTAAATAATGTTGTGAATATTTGGCAATAACTCAGCTTCATCATCATCATCATCAGCCTCTTAATGTCCCTACTGCTGGGGCACAGGCCTTCCCTATGGATGGAATAGGGAGATTGGGCCATGACCTCACCACGCTGGCCCAGTGCGGATTGGCGGGTGCTAACGACTGCAGATGCAGCCGGGACCAACGGCTTAACGTGCCTTCCGAAGCACGGAGGAACTCGTGATAGAAATTTTTGGTCACCCATCCAATGACCGACCACTGCG